AAAACAAGTCGGGTTAGGAGAACACGTCAAGGGGGGTGATGAATGAATAATTTAGTTACACAGTTTACCTTTACAATAAGCTTCGATGACCTTGCTATTCTGTTCAAAGTAAATCCAGTATTTCCCGTCAGCCATCTGGTTCCCTTCACTCGCTTCAATCTCACTACAGGTTTCCGCTGGAAGTTCTTTGATAGATCCGAGGGGAACTACGTCAGAAAAACGGAATTTCATGTAAGAAGTTTACACCATCTTGCAGTTCGATACCCCTGATGCGACAGGAGAGGAAAAAAACCTCCTACCTTTCCTGCCTGCGTAAAAGCAGAAAGAAATAAAAACTGTGCTAATTCTATCAGATCTAGACTAAGAAATGAGATGGAATACATCAACAATAACGCGAAAAAAAAAGCCAACATTTCGGTATCATCATTACACCATTTTCAAGGTGACTAAGGAAAAGAGTTGCTTAACTTCATAATTAAGTCAAATATTATTATAACATAGCTAGTAAATTTGTCTAATCAAATTCAATTGCGCGAGCATGCTTCATATTCTTATTATGCACGCTCATGACGTCAGCAAACAAATCCCTCGAGAAAAAAATTTTCCATCGGATTGAAAAATGTTATAAAGCAATTAGTTCATACGTCAGTTGTGCGATCATCGAGATATGCAGCACGCGGTAAGTTTGGAGAGCACGAAAGATGCGTAAGAGTTGCTCGAGGCAGCCGAGAGCGACTCTTACGCATCTTTCGTGCTCTCCAAACTTACCGCGTGCTGTATATCTCGATGAACACACGCTGACGTATGAACCAATTGTTAATCTTCCCACGATGACGTTAATGAGACGATGATTCCAAAACGTCGTTTCTTTAATTTTGACTTTTCTCCGTATTTTAAAATACTTTACCAATATCGAAACAATCCCCGAAATTGAATCATCAAAAGGCTCGCCATAGGAACATATCTGAGTCTATAAATTTTGTTTCTCTGCGTTTTCTTAAATCGTGAATAAAAATTTAAAGAACAAGTTTGCCTAGAAATGCAAATACAAAAAGTTAAGAGAGGGAACGTAAAGAGTACCTCTGCTTCTAAAACGCTTCACGTAAAATCTTCTCTGATCCGGCATAAAATCTTCCGGTCTTGCTTCCTTTGTACGATTGTTCAATTCACAGATGTTTTGACCAGTGACGACGTTGAAACTCTGACACGTGACTTCTTCCTCACACCGGAAATAACACTCTCTAGGCAACTGATCGCGATACGTTTTAAACACGTGACCTTTCAGGTACATTCCGAAAATGGAGCTTTCCATTAAATGGCACTGTCTGTTGGCGTTGAGTACACCAATCCGGGACATCACAAACATGGTTGCCAGCCAGAACTTTGGATTCATTCTGAGGTAAATGTAAGTGCCAATTGCTGCACACAGACTAAGTACCTATCAACACAGTTAACAATGCTAAGATAAAGTTATATATGGATTTCAGTCAAATTAATATCTCAATTTACACATTAGAAGGATAAATCAATCCAAAAAGGTTTTCCTGTAGTTTCCTTCGGCCTCCACAAGTTGAACGTATTAACATTAAACACATGAACGTGTTCGACTCTGTTCAATTAAGTTACGAAAAACTAATCATCGACAACCGTAATAAGTGACACTGCACTTCATATGCGTTATTGAAACAATCGTGGAGTAAAGAAAGCTAGATATTGGCCGAGTTCTTTTTCTGCTTTTTTATGAACCGAGACAAAGTCCAGGTCCCATAAAACCAGCCGGCAAAAATTATTTTTATTAAAAAAAAAATGACCGTTTCCGCTTATTGCATTGGGTCGCATTGAAAGGCTAAAAAAATTAGCTATTTGTTTATTTTTTCGACGATTTCCCTTAAGCAATAGTTGACGTTTGCTCGTTGTTGTAATTTAAAACAACCGGAAGAGTTTTGATGTCAGATATTGGTTTTCTCTAATTTTGTACTGACAGCACCGAGGTTTTCAATTTTCTTAAAGTTCGATGATAGTTTATTTTTGGAATAGAAATATTGAATTTCGGCCTCAATTTACCTTGGCAGAAGTATGTCTCCAAATTTCAAGTGGGTTGTACTCAATATGTGGAAAATGGCCTAGAAAGCCTTAAGATCATGATTATCGCTAAATCGTCTTGAAGAACAGGGACTACAGCCGTTCCATTGTACCGGACAAAGATTTTACTTCGTACCGTCCAAGCAGGCGTTGGATAGAAGAGCGGAATAGTTTCGCTAGGCTGGCCGTGAAAATAACCTTAACCAAGCTCGAAAAATATTGGAATATAGGGTCAATGAATAAATGACTCTCGCTTCTCTCTTCTATCGATTAGCTCTTGTATGAATAACGAACTGGTCTAGAAATATTTCTTAATCATTTTCTCTTGCATTTTATTTGCGGCACCGACTTTTTGAACAAGATAATATCTGGTAAAACCGACATTCGGGATAAAATGCTATTTTCGTGCACAAGTTGT